AAAGAACTCACACTTTGTTGCGTTAATTTTCAAACCCGACATATCATAAAATTTATCCAACACGCTTTGAACCCCCATCATATAATCCAAAGAACCCTTTGTAAATTGAAGCAAATTGTTTGCAAAACAAAAGTGGTTCATTTTGACTCTTTTACATTTAAGATAAAAATTAAAATCCCATTCATCACAACCAAATCCAACATCTTGGACAATACGTTAATAGCTAAAAGAAATATGTACGACGAGAACGGGTCACCTTGTCTCACCCCTCTCGCCCCTTCAAAATACCTAACCAAGCTTCCATTAAATGCTATAGAAAACTGATTCATATACAAACAACTTCAAACTCAAACTTGAAACTTCTCTGGCAATCCCATGGCTTCCAATACAACAAGAATAAACGCACAACTTAAGCTGTCAAACGTCTTTTATAAATCAATTCTAATAGCACAATGACGTGATAACAAACTCCTAAGCTAATAACATGTTATCAACAATGTTACGCCCCTTAACAAAGGCCGACTAATTTAGAGCCACCATTTATGGGAAAAAACCTGCCCAACGAGACACCAATATACGAGTGATGGCCCTATACAACGTCGCACAACAAGAGATTGGTCGATACTATTTCATAGAGAAAACATTAATTACTTTTGGAATCAAGAGTAAAGTTGTAGCATCAAGCTCCAGGAGGAGAGAATATGTATTAAAAAAATATTTGATTTCCAATATAACATCCTCCGCCACCACATTCTAAGCAATCTTGTAGAACCGAAGAAAGTATCAATCCGAACCTAGAGCCTTCTCATCCCCCTATTGGAAAAAAACCACTCTAACCTCATTGCTTGAGACCGCCCTACTTAAAAAAACACAAGCAGCTTCAAGTATCATATAAACAATAATGTCTCGTAATATCCTAAACCTACAACCCTCAACATTTGCATCGGCAATGCCCACAAGATTAGTAAAGAGCTTGACAGCCTTCATACTCATCTCTTCAAAGGAAGTAAGCTGCTGCCCTTATCATTTTTAAGCATTCGAATAGTGTCCTGCTTATGTTTAACCGTCACAGACAAATGAAAAAACTTAGTACTTGCATCCCTTTCTTGTAATTATTGAACCTTCGCTTTATGTCTATAGAACATCTTCTCCACACTTCCCAACTCTTCCAACTCCCTCTACAAAGTCCGCTTACATCGAACTCCAACTAAATCCCCATCCCTTATGTTGGAAAGTTGCTTCTGCTCAAGCTATCGCCTCTTCAGAACAACATTCCCCGAAATGTCATCGTAAAACTACTTATTAAAATATTTCAAAACTCTACTCAACCTTTGTAACTTCCTGAATAAAACCAACATTAGATCCCCAAACGTGGGTTGAGACCAAGAATTTTGAACCATATTAATAAAATCAAGATTATGTGATAAAAATTGAAAATTTTGAACGATTTAGGCTTATAAAATTGAGCTTGTTTCTTAAGCCAGACCATCGCAAGACAGTGATCAGACACTCCAGGCACCAAAAACTCTACACTCGAATTTGAAATATCTATAATCCATTGGCTATTAACCAATACTCTATCAAATTTCTGTGGAAGGAACGTTTCATCCTTATGTTTTGACCATGTTTACAAAGGCCCATTAAAAAGGTGATCAAACAAGCTAAGCTCCCTAATACAATATTGAAACTCTCTCATATCAGCAGCATGCACTGCATACTCAACCCCACTGCTAGAATTCTCCATTGGGTGTAAAGAGACATTAAAGTCTCCACCTAATAGCTAAGGAAAAGATCCCATATACTCATCCTTCACTGCTTTTAACTGCTGCCAAATCTTACATCTCAAGCCTCTGTCATTACTCCCATACACCCCTATGATACATAAATTTTTCCCTCTAAGTGTACCCAATAAAGATATCAATTGATCACTAACAACTTTAACCAACAATTGTACATAACCCTTCCATAAACCTAAATACGACCATTGATGTCACTGCTGTAATGAAAAACATAATTTTACCCCGTAAAAAACAATCCATGATTGGCTTAGCCTTATTTTCTCTAACTCTAGTTTCACAAAGAACAACCACATCAACCTGAAAAGAATCCAACCTCCTCAAAACTTACTACTGCTTAGTAGTGGAGTTAAGACCCCTAATATTCCAAAAACAAGCTATCATGATATATCATTTAAAGTACTACCCACACCACTGTCACTACATTTCTTTCCCCTATCCAGATGATCATTTTTCTTTAGTTTTATCTCATTAAGCAAATTAGCAACCCCCAAAGCCATAACTCGAGGCTTTCTCGGTGGGCCTTCTTTGCCAAGATGAGTAAGTTCCCTATCCTCCCCACCTAACACCTCAAATCTATTCTTAAAAATCACCTTGCCATGACCATCTTACAACCTTTTACCCACTCGATTCTTCGGTTTAACCTTCAACGAGCGACTTGAGCTAGAATTAGGATCACCAACCCTTGCCATCACATGATCAATCATTATGTCACATACAGTCACCCCCCATGACCTGCAGTCAATGCAAGACCATCTTTAATCCTCTCTACCTCCTCTATCCCCTGACCCAAATCAAGCAAATGACTACCAACTACAACAACCTCCTAAACACTCACAGGACTTATGGACGAACCCACATCCTCTGGATTTACCACCTCTACCTCCATTGTAGCATCCTTCACTCCCACATTAACGAGTTAGTCCCCTTTCGAATGCCAAACCAAACCATACCCCTACTTCATTAGTCACATAAGGGCAACCTTTCTCCGAATGGGAAAAAGTATTACAACGAGTACATCTAGCAGGAAACAAAGACAATGAAACTTTTACAGACACCTCTAGGCAATCATTCATAAATACATCAATAGTACTAGGGCAAGTAAAATCTGGACCGACCTCAACACATACCTTAGCGTAGGAGATTCATTGTCGTGAAACTATAATCCTATCCATATACATTGACGTCCCTAAAACACTGTCAATATAGTTGAGTCCCTTTCGTGTGAACAATTCCAAAGGGACATGGGACAAATGAACCCAAACCGGAATTCGATCCAACTTAAAACTCCAAAGCCTTTAAATTTGGTTCTCACTACCTCAAAACCATCGGATTATTTTGAAAGTGCCATGGGTTGTTCTCTAAAACCCAATCACGTGCAGTATTGTTCAAGAATTGGAAAACAAAAAAGTTGCTCCTCCCCGTCGAGTTCATAATGACCTCACTCATATTACTCTAAATAGACTTCACCATTCTCTGAAGAAACCCAATAGTCGAAGGACGCCTAAGGAATTGAGCAACCAACGAGTGTTTCGGCCACAATTCCCTCATTTCAGACCTCATTGACGGCTGAACAGTGACCAACCCATCCCGAATCACTGGATGAAAGAAATCCAACGCCTGCTCCTGATAAACATCAAACAAATTTCTCCACTCCATCACCATAATCGAACAAGGAAAAATAAATCCCATCAAAGAACACACAAAAAAAAAAAAGAACACGAACCCAAAAGCAAGAGACCAAAAGAAGAAGAAAGTTCCCAGCGATGATAGACCGAGTATCGTGCATCGAGAGCATTTTCGTTTCCCCTATCATGCACCATCATTTCTACTCTCTCAAATCAAATATTTTCAATTTACTTTAAATTTTGTTTATATTAAATAAAAAAAAGAACACAAATATTTACTTTAAATTTTGTTTATATTAAATAATAAAAAAATCCAAATCATATAATAATAATAATAATAATAATAATAAAATAATTCAAAATAACAAAAACATGAGAAATTCGAAAGTTCAGTGAGTAAATTATAAATACTGAAGATTTAATACACTTTTTAGTGTCTAAACTATACCTTAAATTGACTTTTAACGCCTAAATAATTTTTCGTTAAAAATAGGTGCATAACATTTTTTCTGTTACACTTTTAGGTACCTACAGTTAAAAAATCGTTAAATAAAACATATCACTTTTATACTTCTGAATTTTTTATTTTTTTAAAAATAAGTATATTATTTAAAAAATTAAAAAAAACCCAACTGTCCCACCCCTCACGTCGCATTCTCCCTTCCCCCTTTCCACAATATAAGACAGGAATTTAGGGGGAGGGCTTTCCCGAGAGCAGGCATAGATGGCACTAGAGGTCACTACTCTTATTGTCGGAAGAGGTAATGGTGACCATCGACGACGATAATGATAATGACGATCAATTAAATTTAAGGTTAAGGATTTAAGGGTTTATCTATTTATGAATTTTAGGTAATAAAAAAGGTAATTACAAGAAAATGATGGCGATAATAGGTATGTGGTCTTTCAGTGATGGAGATGGTGGCCGGAGATGATCATTGGCGGCCAAAAGTGAGTTTGAAATTAAAGATTTTAGGGTTTTTGAGGATCTTTGGTAATTTAAAAAATTAGTGTTTTTAAATATAATTTTAATTTTTTAAATAATTTCTTTAAAATTATCAAAATGTGACACGTATCGCTTAACAGTGGAATTTAACGGTGTTTATGGTCCAGACACCTAAAATGGTAACGGAGAAAATGTTGATACATATTTTTAGCGAAAATTTCTTTAAGCACCAAAAGTCAATTTGATGTATAATTTAGGCACTTAAAAGTGTATTGAGCCGTAATTGAGGTAATGATTTAAACTTCATAAGTCAAATTGTCTCAAAAAATACTTTAGAGAACAACCATTACAAAAGTGTATTATTTATGGTGCAATGGTGCATTTAATGAAATTATTGAAAAAAGAAAGAAAAAGGCACAATATCAAAATTGACCCCCAACATTTATCAAAGTAATTGTTTTGTCCCCTATTCTTTAACGGTGAGTGACCAAAATAGAACAAAAACTAAACGCTAGTCATGATTTTGAAAAAAATGGTTGAGTGATTAGAACAGAACAAAATTGATAGTTAGGGTGCTAAATCTGTAGTATACCCTAAAAGAAACTTCCTTTAAATCAGCTAAGCTTAGTTCTCTTACCTGCTTTTGTGTTATCATCACTGCCCTCCCTCTTTCCCCGCCGCCGCCATTGCAACCATCACCGCCACCGCTGCCTCTTCTTAGGCGTTAATCTATTTGAAACGCTTCCGCCAGGTAACCCCAGCGACATAAAGTTTTAATTTCATCTATCATCATAAACCCTAAACCCTCGCTCTCCATCTAACTTCTGTTGACTCAATAAACTTCAGCATTTTACTAATCTTAACAAAATCAGCTTCGTTTCATCTTATTTTATTTTTGCAGTTCAAAAATGGGTTCCCTCCTTAAAGCCTCTTCCCACGTATTTCGGTTCGAGAAGGTGCCATTCTTGTCGGGAAGCAAGACAAGACAAGGTGTTGTTCCTAAGAGAGTGGCTTTCCGTTTGTCCCCTGTCGCATTATCGTTGTCTGCGTTAACCGGAACCTTTCAACATGACTCGGAATCTAATTCAACCGACAGCGCCATCTCAATCATGGTACTTGTTTTCTTTTATCTGTTGAAAGAAATAAAAAAAAAAGGTTATACTTTTGAGCCTGCGTTGTATCTATTTCTATGTAGCCAATGTGTTTGATCGTAAGTGAATAAAGCTTTAATTTGATCAATGCCAAAGGAAGCGTCTTTTTCTATATAGGCATTTGATCTTGTGTGCATTCTACCAACACTGGTATGCTTTTTTTTTTTTGACAATTTGTAAATATCGATTTTGAGAATCTACATCACAGCCATATGAATTCAAAGTGCTTAAGATTGATAGATGCAGATAACTAGCAACTTTGGGGTGAACAAGTTTAGAATATCTACTCTGCCTAGGTATTTTTGTACGGCATTTTCCATGGGGAAGGGAACGGAGGTCACTTAAGGTTATTACAACGTCTTTTAGTTATTCTGATAGCTATTATTTGGATTCCGATTATACCGACAAAGAAAAGTTGTCTCCTTAAGAGTAGGACGTGAACAAGCATACCTGTGATATCATATTAGTTGGTGGTATGACTGTTGAATTGTAGGTATGTGTTATGGTTTGAGCGGAGCCTACATATGTTATCAACGTTTTTGTCTGTAACTACTGTCATTTCTTGTTTCTATGTTTTGCTTTCTCAGCTTGGATGCTTTTCTGAATTTGACCTTGTTACTTAGTCTAAATGGTTATGAACTTCCTTTAAATGAGAAGATAAGTTATCAGATAACATGGTTTAACATTCACCCCATTGCTTTGTTGTTCCTTTGTCTGCTGCAGGTAAATGGTTGTACTGGCAAAATGGGAAAGTCTGTTATCAAAGCATCAGATTCTGCTGGCCTTCACATTGTTCCGGTATCTTTTGGTGCAGAGGAGTCTGGACAGACCGTTGAACTTTGTGGGAAAGAGATTATCGTGCATGGTCCATCTGAAAGAGAAAGCATCCTTTCTTCTGTCTTTCAGGAGTATCCAAACCTGATCGTGGTTGACTACACCGTGCCTGCCACAGTTAATGGTAACCTATTAAGGAACATGCATCCAAAACTATATCATATTCCATATTGGATAATGTCACTATAAACTCTGAATTTGAGTGCGAAAAATTTTGGTAGCTTGTGGAATAATATCTCTATAAAATCTGCAGCCACATTGCGGTGATATTCCATATGCATACTATCCGAGTTCAATATTATGATTTCATCTCTATACACACTTTTTAAAACTGTTTTGGGGGATTGGGTTGTTTGATAAACGTAGATAATGCTGAGCTATATTGCAAAGTTGGAGTACCTTTTGTTATGGGAACCACTGGTGGTGACAGGGATCGACTCTATAAGACTGTTGAAGAGTCGAAGGTTTATGCTGTCATATCGCCACAAATGGGGAAACAGGTCATTTAACCCTTAGTTAAAAAATACAGCTTTTAACTGGTGGAGATATTGATTTATTTATGTTGCTTAAGACTGATGTTTCTGATAGGTCGTTGCATTTCTTGCGGCCATGGAGATCATGGCTGAGCAATTTCCTGGAGCCTTCTCTGGATATTTGCTGCAGGTACTTAATTAAAAAGGTTACTTGTTCTGCAAGTTCTTGAAAGAACAATATTTCAAACAAGGTTGATTAGGTATAATCAAGAGTGTAACAACTTGTAAACAACTGAGGCTGCAAAATTCTGTTTTGAAGCAATATCAAGAAGATAGTTTTGTACATTTTGAAGAAATAGCACTACTTGGAGCAGCAAAGGAAACATATTTGTTAACTTTGAAGCTTACTTTTGCTTAATTTATCCATTAGTGTTTGTTTGTAGCAAGTTCTTTGGGCTTGTGTTTAATGTCGAATACGTTGGTCTTCTGATCTTCTCGTATATTTTCTTTGCAATGCTGTCCTTTTTCTTAAATACTATTTATAATAAGTTTCCTTTATCAACACCTTTATGTTTAGTCCTGTTGGCTTCATATTTGATTATCTTCGTTGATCATGGTTAGGTGATGGAGTCCCATCAAGCAAGCAAATTGGACACCTCTGGGACTGCTAAGGCTATTATTTCTTGCTTTCAGAAATTGGGGGTGTCGTTTGACATGGATCAGGTGTGTGATTCTCACATATTCGTAACTGTAACCGAAAGAGAAATCGATTTCTTTTTTCTTATTGCTTAAGGGCCGGGGATGGGAGGTAGGACAAAGGTTGGGAGATATAGACCTTTGGAATGACATATAATAATTAATCTGCCTAATTCAACCCAATGGTTTTATGGTCATTGTAAATCCCTTCTATTATATGGTTCTTTCAATTTCTTGGATTTCTTAATGTTGTTTTCCTTTTCCTTTTTAGATACAAATGATCCGAGATCCCAAGCAGCAGATTGAAATGGTGGGAGTTCCGGAAGAGCATTTGCTTGGTCATGCTTTTCATTTGTATCATCTGACCTCACCTGATCAAACGTACTGACTTTAACATTTTCAACTATACCATACATCCTGGTCAACTTGTAAACATCAAGTGATTTTTCTTTGATCTCAAATTGCAAATTCTTTTGCAGAGTGTCATTTGAATTTCAACATAATGTTTGCGGCAGATCGATATATGCCGAGGGAACTGTTGATGCTGTGCTTTTTCTTGCTAAGAAGGTGCAGTTATTTATATTTCTCATGCCAGTTTGAATCTATTACCAAATATTTTTACTGTTAGTGCCAAATGCTCAGCCAGGAAAAGGTCAGATTTTGAACGTTTGTTGTAATTAACTGTTGACTCTGAACATAAGGGAAACTCTGGAAAAAGAAACCTTAATCTAAGGTGAAAATACAATAAGCTACCTACAATGTTGTCAAAAGATACATAAATCGTTACGGCATTGTAATATTCTTCGAAGACATTTTATGTATCTTTCGATAACATTTTAGGTGGTTTACCCTTTAAGGTCCTTCACACTAGAACTACCCTGAAGGCCTGAACTTAAAAGTGTTGCACTAGTGTCTCTATATTCAAATTTGAAGGAGACTGAGCATGCAATTCAGTTAAGTTAATAATATCCGAATTATACTGAAAAGACTGCTTAAGGGTAAGGACTGATAGTACCCTTTAGGGTTTGTTACTGGTTACAAATGTCTTTACAAGACTAGGACGCTTGGTTTGTATTCGAATCACTATTTGATTACTGGATGTTGTTCGATTGCAGGTTAAGTCGAAGGCAGACAAGCGAATATATAATATGATTGACGTTTTGCGGAAGGTAACATGCGATAAAAGTTCCGTTATGCATGTTGTTTTGAGTGTATTAGTAACTTGTTCAAGATATCTTGGATTATGAGACGTAGGGCAATTTTGCTTTCAATGTTACTGGTAATCTTTGTTCTTTGCGGTTAGTGTAAGAATTGCAATATATTTATGATGCTGTTGATGTTGAACATTGCGTAGGCCTAAGTAATGCCCCCATAAAACAGGCTCTTAATACAAGAAATGATTTTGCCCAAGTCGTCTAAGTCGGATTTTGAGGGTTATAATCTTATTATTTCTTATGTTATTGTCAACTTCGACAATGAAGTATTTAGAAAGTACGTGAAGGACAAAAAGTGTATAAATGATTCCAAAATCAAAAGAAAAAGGAAAAGATGCATATAAGCTTACAAGGATCTCTTCATCAAGATAAGAAATCATGAACAGTCTCTGGAATTTACCACCTGGAAACACAAAGAAACTTTTACCCAGATTCATGAAATGGTTGAATACCAAACGGAAAAGCTATGAGTTATTCATAGCGATGGATTTAATTGCTCCCTTCTCCACAGGACATGACAACTGGCAAAGTTGCTGCCAAAGTCGCAAGTGATGGCAAATATTGGAGCAACATCCGTTTTTGGAATTGATTCTCTACCATCATCTTAGACAATGGTTTCATTGCATATGCATTGATTCTAGTTTTTCCTCCTTAGTAACAAGTTTTCATATTTGCAGCAAGTGTTATGAGCTGGGCAAATACCCAACAAGAGGGGTGTTGACAATTCAAGCAAAAATAAAAGAAATGAAGTGAGATGGTAATTATCACAATTAGCTTGTAATGTTTTTCCTTAGTACAACAACAACAAAACCCTATTCTCATATGCAATAGGGTAAGGGGAGGTAGGATAGTAGGTTGTACCTTACGTCAGGTTGAGAACAGCTTTTGTGTAAGACCTCCAGCAGTCAGAAAATTTTAAATAAAGATAAAATACAATGTCTGTATAAATAAATAAATACATAGTTGAACAATCTTAATGTGCTGAGAAGGATATACAGAAGTAATCGATAGAAAACTACGAGAAGGAATAAATTCAAATGTGTTAAAACATAAACTAAGACAACACTACTCTACTACCCTAGTTCTAAGCCTTCATAAAATCCAATGACATGAACGTATAAAAAGTAGAGGTCAATGGAAATTACTACAAAGGCAATTAAAAAGAAGACAGAGATGCTACACCCTATGGCTGTGAACCACACTACTCGGCTACCCTGGTCTTAAGTCTCCATACTTTCCTATCAGAGGTATGTTCTCGGTAAGGGTTAAATCCTTCAAATCAGATCTCAAACAGTCTACCCACTTCCTCCTTGGTCGTCTTCTCCTTCTGGCACCGTTGACTGTAATCGACTCTACTCTCCTGACCGCATCCGACGGTTGTCGCATAAGGACATGTCCAAACCACCGTATTCTTCTCTCTCTCAATTTTTCGGATACATGCACCATCCCCAAGAACATCCTAATTAAGAGTTTGGTGTCATGTCCCACAGAGTCCTACCACATGTCCATTGAAACATTCTCATTTCTACGACCTCCATCCTCCTTACGTGATCCTTCTTGATTGCCCAACATTCTGATCCATACAGCAGCGCTGGTCTTATTGCCATTCTATCAGCTATATATCATCTTGAGAGAAAATTCAGAAGCATTGAGTGCTTACTCACAGGAACTCGCAGTCCATTGGCCACGGCATCCCTAATAGGAACTGGAAGTTGCTGGCGGTAGTAAGAGCCTGACTATATGCACCTTTAAACTGCTCTGGTATTGTTTCTTCAACGATAGTTGGTGATTCAAATATCCCCTCTACATATTCTTCTTTCATTCGTTGTGGTCCCTCCACAGAAACCCTGGTTGAAAGAACAAATTTGCTTTCTATCTGCATCACACCAATGATAACCTTGGGTCGCTTCAAATTTTGTGATAAAAAGAGCTCTTCATAATACTCAAAGAAATACAATTTGAAAAGAAGTTAAAAAAGTGGCTGTCCTACTTCGAATTAACTCTATCTGTAAAAAAAATAGTTTAATCAAAGAATAATTTGGGTCAAAATTCATACAGCAGGTTAGAGATCTGTAAACTATAGGTAATACAAGCTATGGATGATACATAAGGCAGAATAAATAGTTCCATGGGGCAGACTGTGCAAAGGCTTCCATTACGTACAGCGATGGTCCAAAGTCCAAACTTATACCTGTTTTTCCCACTCTTTGGGACATGATCTACAAATATGAATGGAGCAATCTTACCAATCACCAAGCTTGAGATGATCACAAGAAACAAAGAAATAGTGACCTAATTTATCACCAGTTATTTAACTTTGATGGCAACAGAAGTAAAAGAGAAGAAAAAAAACAGCGTTGTTCCAATATTCTTTAGTTAGTGGGACAAAGTGACAAGTTTTGACAGTGGACAAGCTCAAGCAAAATTTGTTAATACAAGTAACTTTAAATGGGAGGAAAATAGGTTTGCCTCAAATCACATAACCTCATGTCCCAAATAATGACATCACTGAAGGTTTAGGGTGTACATCCATCCAGTTAAGACTAGGGGAAAACATAATCTTTACCAACTACTGTTTAATCTTTTGGCCAAACTCCAGAATAAAGGATAGTTTTCACATGCTATATTATATCATTTTGAAGAAAATCACAGTCAACATCACTTCCATTGCAAATATATGTATATAAAAGCATTTTCTTGTTTAGCTCAACACTAACATCCATCAAGAACTAGGAGCACACAGTTGATGTTGTACAGAAAGAGAAAGAGAAAAAACTGAGACCACAGAGCAATGAGGCTTGCTAAAACAATGTTTTACTAGAATTATTTAAACCAATATGATTTAACTCACATCTGACTTCTGCATGAAAGCAGTAAAAATATACTGTGTTATGTAGTTGGACTTGAGGGTGAGTATCAAATACAAGTAGGTGTCCAACATGTATACACTCAAAGGTTCTATGTTTTTCCAAATATTTGGAGGGTCATCTCATGTCCGAATATGTGCTGGGCAGAAGTGTCAAAGACGGGTTCTTTAGGAAAGATGAAGAGTCCAGTAACACAGGTGCTATGTACTATTAAATGAAGATGACTGCTGAACATGCACACTTAAGGCATTCATATGGAATCTCATGCTGATGCTTCATGCCTTCATGAAATGACATTTATTTGTGTAGGGGAGCATTAAATTGGTTTGGAAATATTTACCAAGTTAGGCAATTTTACATGGGATGTAACCTTTGCATATCCATCCTTGAGAAGCAAATTCATTTTTGACAGTCCTGCCAGTGTCGAAGGAAATCTCCTGCAAAGTACAAGGGAACACCAATAAGATCAGCTGGGAGTCGATTAGAAAAAAATGGAGACCACCAGCTTTCAAATGACACTCACTCAAATGTGACTGTAACAGCAAAAAGTCCCGGGTTTATCCAAACCACTCAAAGTTCCATAGACCCTCCAGAAAGGGAGACCTGGAAAGCTATATAAACAAATAAGTCCAATAGAAAAAATGAACATGCAAACATTCGTTCTTCGGCTAAGCTCCTACGTTGTTGGCCTTGGTGATGGATTGAGCCTCTCAAGACCAATTATCCTTTCGTTCACATCGATTCGTTGCATATCTAATGTTTTTCCTGTCACCAATGCCTCAAAACCCCGGCATCCTTAAACTGAAAGAGCATTTATCGATGTTAAGATGAACGGGCCAAGCTTTAAGGAGCATAATAAAAAATACAAGTACATACTTGATAGAACATTCAAAATAAATGATTTATACCTGATTTTTTTTTCTCATTCTGAATTAACATTATTATAGGTCCTGAAAAAAAATAGAAAGATAAAAGGCAATTCCTAGGAATCTACGCACCTAAACTGACGGCTTTGACTTGTAATTGAAGCAATTAACCAATTGCTCGGTAAATTTTTTCTAGAATCCTAGATTTAGCCCAACTGAAAAGTAACTCAAAATTCTCAAATCCACCCTTTTGTCTTTGCTGAATTTCTATAACAACAAATCTTATATATATATATAAAGATAGATAGGTTAGATGAGTGAAAAATAAACAACTGAAATTACCAATAATAAATGGACGGCAAAATTTTTCGATTAATGCTTTAAAAAAAATATTGAATAACGTTCGCCCCGAATTATTTGCTGAAATAGGACGAATGCTACAGTACACAATAAGAAGTATGGATTACCATGCGACACACCCGCATGGCGCACAGATAGCCATACGATTTCCATGCATGGCGCATGGAGTGCCATGCAACTCACCCATGCATGGCCACGCATGGTGCATGGTACACCATGCGGTTCATTTGTTTTTATTTTCGTGAATGCTTATATACCTGTATATTGCATACCCTGAACCTATAAGTTGTTTGAACCATACCATGTTATCATATCATGTACCTATACCTTTTATTCTGACAATACTATTTGTTTAACCCATACCTTGCTATTCCATACCTAACAATTGTTGAAAAAAGTTAGTTTTTGTAGCTATATATATGTGTGTGATTACCATGTGTCACACCTGCATGGTGCACAGATGGCCATACGATTTCCATGCATGGCGCATAGAGTGCCATGCAACACACCCATGCATGGCCACGCATGGCGCATGGTACACCATGCGTTTCATTTGTTTTTATTTTCGTGAATGCTTGTATACCTGTATATTTCATACCCTGAACCTATAAGTTGTTCGAATCATACCCTGTTATCATATCATGTACCTATAACCTTTTATTTTGACAATACTAAAATTGTTGAAAAAAGTTAGTTTTTGTGTGTGTGTGCAAGAATGAATTCGGGAATGAAATTTAAGAAGAAAGCAACAATCAACGAAGTGTAAAAGATTTAACTGTTAATTCGTGCGGTTTTTTTGTATGAACTCATTTGGTACGTTTTTTCTGTTATTCTGATTTTAGTAAGTGTAAAATTATTTGTTTAAATTTTTGTTATTCTATATGAAATTATTTATTTAATATGTTAAAATTGCATACGAAAATAGAGATAAAATTAATTTTTTCAAGTCAAATTATTGAAAGAAACAAAGAAGTTAATGTGAATAGATTTTATTCGAAGTATTTTACGATTTATTGCTATGTGAATATTATTT